GCCGAATCCTGTCAAGAACACGCCGAGTTCGTTCACGATGGGAAGTGAGGTCGTTTGAGAAAATTAGGATATCATCCATATATATAACGAGTCATCCTTCATTAATCTCCTGCTGGAACGTTCTATTCATGTACGCCTGGAAGGTGGCCGGCGAGTTGCAAAGACCAAAGAACATAACGTTTGGTTCAAAGAGACCGTATTCCATAGTGAAGGCAGCTTTCCATCAATCTTCGGGATGAATACGGATATTGTTGTATCCCGAACAGACGTCCATCTTGGTGAAGTACTTGGCACCATGTAATTGCGCAATCAAGGAGAGCGGGAGTGGAAGGGGATAGGCGTTCTTGACAGTCCATTCGTTGATATATCGGTAATCCTGACAGGGGCGAAGGTCTCTGCTTTTCTTTCCTACAAAGAAGAATCCACTAGCCTGCGGAGACTTAGATTCAGAGATGAATTCCTTTTTCACATTTTCATCGATGAATGCTTTGACCGCTGTGCATTCTTTTTCTGATAATGGGTATACCTTTGACATCTTGGGAATAAAACTGGGTTTTGTTTCTATTTGGTGATCTATCCCGGGTCGTTCGGGCGGTAACTGGTTTAGACCATCCTTTGCGAAGATGTCGGTGAAGTTGTGAAGATACGAAGGGACAAGTTCTTCGAAAGACTTCTTCTTCTGCTCAAGCCCAGTAGCTAATGCAAACTGTTGGGCTTTGTTACTGGTTTTAACGTATTTGGGGGGCCGTGTCAGAGGTGCAACCGTGGTCCGCTGTTCCGAGATGCTGGTCCCGTCTTTCGTTAACGGGGTGTCTAGGGAGACATTGGTGATTACCCGAAGTTCGGAGGTATCGGCGGGATATTCGATCAAGAACTCGTCATCTTCGAGGTGGTATGTGGAGATTTCCCGCACCGTTGGTGCGTAATCTGTTGTCCACACATCTTCCTTCGTATCGAAAGAGTCGTCATCATCGTCAGGGATAGGATCAAGGTTAGGCAGCGGCGGTGGGGCTTCTTCATCCGGAATTTCTTCAATGGTGGCTTGAGGCGCCAATTCGGCGAGGTTTATCTTAACTGGTGCAGGAGGCGCCTTCAGCAGCACTACAACTGGGACCGGTTCTTCTTTCTTGTTTATCTGGAATAACGGCGGGAGTCCATTCTTCTTGTGCTCGTGATCCACTTCTTCTTCTATCTGATCACTCTTCTCTGTGTGAGAGAGTTCTAGTGTTTCCGCTTTCCATCGGATCACCGGGTCCATAGCACGCAGCCAGGGGATCCCGAGTAGGATCTGATCACGTCGGCCAAGCTGAGTGATGTTAAACTTTCCGATCATTGATCAGTTGTCAATCTTGACAATGAGGACGCAGTATCGAGTAATAGTGCCTCCTTTCGTGTAGCTTCCATCCGCAGTAGTAACTCGGAATGGTTTCGAGAGTTTGTGGGTTCGAATCCCGTGGGTTCTGACAAACTCTTCAGAGATGAAGGTCCCGGCAGCGCCGGAGTCCACAACAGCTGTTGTGTTGACGGTTTTAAGACGAGTTTTAGAAATGAGGGAAATGGGAACACGAAGTTCCTTTCTTATTCCAATACTTTGTACAAGTCTTATGGGTACATCGGAAGATACTGACGTCGATCCAGTCTTCCACGTCAAAAATCCTCTGCGAGGCGACGGATCGTTGCATCTTCTTCTTCACTGTTGCTTATTTCTTCTCAGCGAACAGGGATCTTCTTCTTCTGTGGGCATGCTTTAGTGAGGTGGCCCTTCTGGTGACATGTGAAGCATAATCCCCGCTTCATGTGGTCACTTCTCTCGACTTCAGTGAGTCTGTCTACTTCCATCGCGTTTGGATCATGTCGGTCAATGGAGGGTCTGGGTACATAGCGCTGTCCTGAGGGTTTGGTGGTGGTACGATGATTGGATCAGAATGCGACACCCCTCTGGTAGTTGCTATCGAGCCTAATGACTGCGGCGATGTATTTGTCGAAATCTGTTGGGATGGTTTCCATCTGAAAGACGGAACTAACAATTCCCTTCTTTAATCCATCGTTGAGGAACGTGATGAGGACGGCGTCTTGCTTGACACCAGCTTGTGCAGCCAGGGTTTTGAAACTGGCGATGTAGGATGTGAGATCTCCTGTCTGTCTCAACGTCCTAAGCTTGGTCATGGCGGGTACCGACAGTGTTGGCTGGTACAAAGGCTTCTTTGAACTTAGTTTCGAAGTTTGCAAAAGTTCCGTAACTCTTAGTTGCGGTGTTGTCAACTTCGGTGTAGAAAGTGAGTGCCCAACCCATGGCACTGTCTTCTGTCATATACGCAAGAGCGGTGATGACCTTCTTCTCGTTGGTATTGTAGATCGTAGCGTTAAGCGCGAAGTACACCTTAATCGCATACAACCATCGTAGAGCCTGCTGAGGGCTTCCGTCGTAGGTAGACGGAGCTCCGGCTTTCAATTCTGGGGTATTGGTGGACATCCTGAGCATCTGGTCAAGTGATGTTTCTGTTCAGGGGAACGTTATCGTTCTCTCTCTGAGTTCTTTCTTCTGGTAACCTCCCGGATGGAGAGGGTCGGTTGAGGATGACTTTAATCTTTTGTTACAATGACTCGTAGTCGACTAGGATAGGCGCGACAATAGGTACCCGATAAGGGTACGCCTAAAGCCGGATTGTGTCCTCACAAATGTAAGGTTCTTAAGACAAGCCGAAGAGAGTGTCTCCGGTTTGAATATCGGTTTATATGACGACTTAGGATTGGAGGTCCTAAGCAAAGGATAAGGCAGGTAAAACCTAGTAGATTAAAGTGAGGTCTAACTAAGTACAAGACCATGCTTATATAGGCGTAGGCACTTTAGGGCAGGTACACATACGTCATCGCCGAGTCAGAGATAAGGGATATGAGTCAGCCAGTGATGTCATCGTCCGAGTCAGAGATAAGGAGTATGAGTCAGCTAGTGGTGGTGCATGGCGGCCATGCTGTAATACAGATATAGAAAGACATTAGCCCAATGATGGCACAGGCAAGTGCGGTCATGGCATGGTACATGTGAATGAAAGTTAAGAGAAAGGAAGAAAAGAGATAGGGGTAACCATGGTTGTAACAAGAACTCACGCCCAGAACCAGATACCATACCACCGATCACCCCGACACCTCCCGGTTTTACCTGGGACGAAGAAGAACAAGAGTTCTTTCAGATAGACGCCAAGGGCACCAGATATTCCATCGAACAGTGGGCTGCTTACTACGCTAGCATCGCCCCCAAGAACAAAGTTTGGAACTTCCACACCCAAACCTACGAACGATCCCTATCCGCAGAAATGCCGAAAGAAATTGGAAAGACCCCCTCACCCTTCAACGGCGATACCCGCCTTGCTCAGGGATGGACGCTTCAAGTCGAAGCATACCTAGACATGAACGACGAGGTATATGACAATGACAAGAAAAAGGTCATTTTCGCTTTAAGTCTTATGACTAAAGGCGAAGCTGCTAAATGGGCCGAAGGCCAACTTAAAGCTGCTGCAATATCCAAAGACTACGGAACCTGGCTGGATTTCGCTAAGCAATTCAAATCCACCTTTTTTCCAAAGAACGTTGAACAAACTGCGATCTGTCGCATTTCCTCCCTCAGACAAACCGGCAGTGTAGCCGCTTACGCATCCTTATTCCGCACCATCCTTGCCGATACCGGTATCTCCAAGGAGAACACGAAGATTATGTTCTTCAGAAACAGGCTCAAGCGTGAGATAGTCTCCGCTATATATGCCTTTGAAACGACCCCTACCACCATCGAAACGTGGCTAGAGAAAGCCTTAGATGTCAAGGTATGAAGGACCTTAATAGCACCTCCTTCCTACACCAAGGCGAAAGACCCCTATGCCATGGACATAGACAGAGTAGAAGTAGATGACGAAGAAGGTGAGAAAAAGACGAGGAAGACTTATCTCACTCCTCAAGAATGGGAGCGTAGGCGCAAGGGCGGCCTTTGCTTCAAATGCGGCAAGAAAGGCTTAGCCATAGACTGCCCTAACCATCCCACGGTTACGACCAACACCAGGAAAGTAGTTAAGGAATCATCTGACGACGACTACAAAGAATTCCAAGAGTGGAAGGCATTTAAAGCACGCCAGATGAAGAAAACCGGTAAGAAGCTGGTTAAGAAGGAAGAAAGTAGTGATGAGGAGGATTTTGCTTAGGGGAGCCTACCACAGTGTTAGAAACTCCCAGAATCGGACTTTTAGTACAATCTGTTGGCGACACTAATTCTATTCGTCTCCTGTTAACCATCAGATCTGAGAAGACCGGAAAAACCACCGTAGCCGCTGCTCTAATCGATTGCGGTGCAGAAGGCGAATTTATCGATGAAAAGTTCATCCTCAAAGAGAACATTCGCACGCACAAACTAGAAACCCCGATACCTGTGCATAACGTAGACGGCACGTTAAACAAAGCTGGAAGAATCACACGGTACTGTGAACTCTCTTTTTTAATCAAAGATATCCCCATGCAGAAGCGTTTCTTTGTAACCTCTCTAGGAGGAGAAGACACTATCCTAGGTATGACTTGGCTGAAAAAGGAAAACCCAGATATCGATTGGACAAATCAAGAAGTCCACTTAAGGGAGCGTACCCTGAAAAAAGCATTTATTACCGAAGTCGAAGAAGATGAAGACGTCTTTTATGACGCGCTAGAAGAACTCAAACCAGAGTGGGACCCTGCTAATGAAACTCTCCCACACCTTCTAGACCCCATCAATGACGACGACGATTTCTATACCTATATCCAAAAAACTGACAATATTTCACAGACACTCGCCCAAGACGCCGCCAAACCAAAGAAAACCTTTGAAGAACTCGTACCTGAGGAATTCCAACAATACAAGGATGTATTTGGTGACGTAGCTAATGGTGACGTAGCTAACGGAACCCTCCCTCCAGAATGCAAATACGACCACAAGATCAACCTCAAAGAATCATTCGAACTGCGGAAATGCAAGATTTATCCACTTAACGCCAAAGAAGAGAAGATGACCGTGTTTTGAAATTCCAGCCAAGGAGGTACTTGAAGCAGCACTTGAAAGAGAATTCATAGAAATCTGCTGCAGCTACAGGATCGTGGGCAAGATGCATAGCATGTTCCCATGCTGAAGCAAGGCGAGGAAATCGATGCGACAAATCAACGGTCTGATCACCGTACATAACCTGAAAGATAGGACTATGAGCCGGACATGGGTTAAACGTGAAAAAAAGATGAGACAAACCGAAGTAACTGAAATAACTCCGTATCTCATTCCGTACGTAAATTTTCGATGCTTGAGAGCCTGGGATTCAAGCCGCAATGGTATTGACTTGCTTCAGGAGATTCATCGCGTTTCGTTCAGCAGGCGCCAAGTCCGAAAATCTATGCTCGCGCTCTACTTTCGAGGCAAGACTGTCCAGAATAGCAGGCGATATTTTGGTAAGATTTTGTGCAACTTGCTGGAAGTTTGCCCGGCGGACAGTAAAGAAAGTTTTAAGATGGGCCATTCGACGTTGAATCATGTTCCACACCACGAATATAAATGAATGGTGGTATCGAAAAGAGCGATCTGCTATGTTCAGGTAGTATTGAGCCTGTTGCTGGAAAGACAGAGCTTTAGATCGAGTATCGTCTTCAAATCCTCCGATACCAAATGGGAACAAAGTAGGATACATGCCTGGGATGAGATTGGGATTATTGTACTCATTAATGGGATGAAAGCCTCGATGCACCACGAGGTCAGGCAGTGTCGACTTCTCCGAAACAAGGTTCTTGAGCGCAGCAGCCATGAACGTTCGTCCACTGATGTTATCACACTCCGGATCAGAGACACCTGCTTTCTCAAGCATTGTCACATCAGAGTCGACATCCAAGTCATCTACCAAAAGCTCCGCTGGATGCTTCTGAAATCCAGCCGTTTCCTCTTCAAAAACTCTTTTGACATCGAGCTCATTATTTTCAACCACACGATCAGATAATCCAGGCAACATGTCGTCATCTGGATAAAGTATCAGATTATCCGGTTCAAGTAGGATATCGGAATACAATCGATTGTGATGCTTTAACCAAACAAGAAAAGACCAGATTTTATCCTTCCGCACTCGAAACATGGGACCCATCTGGTCGGGCTTGAATTTACCAGGACCAACAAAGACAATGCTGAGGAATCCATTCACGTCTGCAGGAGTCCGAGGCAACACAGACACGGTGGATACAATGTTCATGTCATGAGCACAAATGTTGCCATGAAAAACTTTCGGCTGCAATGGATCCGACAACTGGAACAAGCGCGTCACATGCGCCGTGGTATTGTATATTGCGCAGATCTTCTCTTCTACCCAAGTCAAGTCTTTGAAATACGTCGGGAGCTCACCACGATACAAGCCATTCGCGAGCGCAAAACGAGGCACACTATCCTGCTTTGACAAAGCAGTAAAACAGTCAGCACAGACATTCATCGTAGTCGAGTCAGAAGTATCTTCGACAATCCCTGCCTTATCGAGCATAACACCATCGAGATTCTTATTATTGAATGTGAACGATGCTGAGACGCACTGCACGATGCATTTTCGGATGATAAAGGTGTCTGTAACACGAAGAGCGTTCAATATAATTGGCAGGCAAGGTGCTCCAGGTTTTGCTGAAATAACAACCTCCGCAGATCCAGACTGCCTTTGAGAACAGACAGTGCACACAGGAGGATCAGTCCACTTCGAGCCTTCATAATAACGATGCAAGCAATCCAGGACAACCTCTTTCGATACAGGTGCCGGCCATTCACGCCGGCGTGCAATAGCGAGGTCTCGTGTTTTGTTCGCCAACTCGATCTTCCTATCACGCCGTATTATTTTGCGTCGGTCAGGCTGCGAAGGGATTTGATGACCGAGTCGGTCCACTACAGTAGATCCATATTCAAATGACAAGATCTGCAGAATATATTGCTCGTCCGACTGATCACAAGGCTGAGATAGTGGTAGGTAACAGAGCAAGATATCACACACCGTACTCGGACCGATACACTGCAAGAAATTCACTCGATCTCAAATGTGAACGGCGAGACCATTACAAGTCTTCTGACGTGAGCGGCCGTTTACTGATGGACGTCCCTTTGCAGGTAGACCACGTATACAATTAGAAAGCACTTCAATGGTCAACTTATGAAGCCTCTGAACCAAATCTGTAAGTGGAAGGGCGGACCAACTGATCAGCGGCACATCAAGGGATTCGAGGACACACACTTGCGGCGGTGGTGGTCGACATAAAGCCACAAAAACTTCTCTTCCATACGTATCACCAAAGTATTTCGCTAACTGAGGCACAAGCAGTTGGCTACCCTCTGTAGTCACGGTAAAGGACAGCAAACTTCGTAGTTGGTCTTCATCTGATTGCATCACATATTGTCGGGTAGCAACAAAGTGAGATAGCACTGCGCGAACACGACCCTTTTTTGATTTTCCTCACAAGAGAGACAGACGAGAAACACAATCAACTAGTACACTGTCCAAGAGGGCCATCAATTTCTGCTCCTGAAGTTCCTCGTCATAGTAAAACCATTTTGGGTAGACACCCAGTCTCGAAGATAGACACTGCTCAACAGATAGAGCTTCACTAAAGGCAAGCTTGCGCAAGATAACACAGTGGCAGTAACCTGCGCCAGCAAAATCACTCAGTGCCATCGACAACGATACTCGATGCTGGCTCACAGTTATAGAAATACCGTCGTACGAAACAGAACCACGAAAATCCAAACAACGGCACATCGAACAAGACAAAGGGTGAGATTTAAGACAGGTTTTCAACCAAGCACAAAAATTTTCGGGTGTTTCAAAGACGGCAAGATGATATTGTGGATAATAGAGGGCATCATAATAATGAGGATAGTGTTTCACATAGTGGGGCTCGTCACAGGGAGGACACTGTCCCTCCTCGAGAACGCGAGCCAAACGGCAGGGCGACTTCGTAATGAAAACGCTGAAAACGCATGAGCCGCGTCGAAACAAACGAAAAACACAAACTCACATACTGTCCGATCCGGTCCTGTCCATGCTCAACGACGATCAATGATGAAAGCAGTCGAAAAAGCCAACAAAAAAGCTAATGGCCGTACGATGAAGCAAGAAACAAAAGACGACTGGGCCTAAAAATCCATTTACAACCGGGAAAAAAAACGGCTTACTTAATGTACCGTTTCGAAACGCAACAGATTACTTAATTTACAGTTCTCTGCGTCAAATTCTGATATCCTTGCACAGGGGTGATTGTTGCTCCCCTCGTGCCACTGCCAGCATCCCCTGTGGACTTCCAGGGAGTGGCGGTGGTGGAGGAGGCGGCGAAAATATGGTGCTTTGGGAGGAGGTTGAGATTGGGGAGGAGGGACTGGTGATTACGCAGGGGTGGCGGAGGGAAATAGGATTGTTGTTGGTATGGCTGCTGCTGAGGTGGCGCGGGAGTGTGGAGGTGGGTATGGTTGAGGTAAGTAGCTTTGGGGATGAGATGGTGGTGATTGATATTGTGATGTGGGAGGCGGAGCTTGACGAGGGGATGACGACGGCTGATATTGCGGAGTGGGAGGCGGGGCCTGATGAGGCTGATACTGGTAAGGCTGCGGGGAGGATGTCGATGATGAGTAAAGCAGTCGGGAAAAGTGGCTATGCCATGGAACCACCGAAAACAATGTGATATCAATAGTTGTCCGATAAGGAAAGTAAAAACGGCAATAGTTACCTAGGCCTCCGTAGTTTCAGACGCGAAGGTCAGCATCGAGCAATCGAAAAGCATGGAGAGGCGATTGACCGATCAAAACGTCGTAACAGTACGAAACTTCAACAAGAACAAACCGGAGTTTTCGGCCACGTGACCAAAGTATTTGTCACACAACAAATGTTTCCATGTGATGCGAGCAAAGTTTTCGTCACAAAACAAATGTTTTTGTCACACTATAGGTAAATGTTTTTCACGAGCAAAGTTTGATGATGTTTTTCCAAAAGTTGGTTTTTGTCCAGTGGGGTCCCTCATACGAATCTCATTGAGGCCCTTCGGTAGTGGGATCGCTTATGAAAAAGCCGGTACTCCAAACATTTTCCTACTGACCAAGCCTTATTCTCACGGGTGCGATGCGTTTGCAGGGAATTAGCCATTTGTGTCCGACAAAACCCTTCTCTCACTACGTGAGAGTCGGGGATTCACACGTTGGATTGATCGCAAATAGGCTCTTGTGAGGACATCTCGTTCGCGCGCGCCTCCGTCGGGGAACCTGTGTTGCCGTCAGATGAGATAACAAGCATGGAAGACAGAAACAAAGAGCACTCGCGCGACTTCTTCGCTCTCTCTCCCGACGCGTCCAACACCAGCTCTACACCCGCCTTCCAGACGGGCTTCTACAGCTGCCAGACGACCAAAAGCAGGTGTTACGGCGCGAGGGTCTGGGTGGATGTTAGCGTTATTCCCAGAATATTGTAGTCAACACACCTTGACAATAATATAATAATTGATGAAAGGCGGTACGATGCCTCTGAAGCCGAGAGGCCATGCGAGTTGTGAAGTGAAAGAAGGAGTTTGAGAGAGGGTTTCATGAGATTGCCACTAGAAAGAGTTAGTTCTATTCAGGCGAGGGAGGAAAGACATACTAGATACCAGCAACGCTCTCTGTCCAAGTATCTACGTCTGCTGTCAGATGCCATGGGGGGAAACGTGGTAGTAGCGAAGATGGGGAGTAGAGTCAAGATCGTGGTACCGAATCTAATGATTGCAGGCGCTGACGAAGCCCATCAAAGACGCGTCGAACACTGACGTTCATCGTGCAAAGTGACCTGCTACCAAGTCCATACATTGCTACTCCATGGAAAATACTCTACCATGCACGAGCTGACAGGGCATCCATCACCACAATGACCTCTGACGTAGAAAACCTTCACTATATCCTTGACGCTGGGTTTGCAACAGTGGTGCATAAACCCCATTCCTCGAGGTGATGTATCCTTGGTGGCAGAGTCACGCGTAAATCGACGCTCTCCTGATCCGTCTGGTGCTCTCGAGACTCGGACTCATACTGCATTGGCTAATTCTACCGCGTTGGAAGTCAGTCTAATGGAAATTTCGCACCCATACCCTCACGATGCCTCGTTATCCTCATCTCTCGTGTGTCTTACCTTGGCACTGGCCGCCGTGCCGTTATATATGAGTTGTTCGGGCTATGTCAGACTACAAAACCTACTATTTGAAGGACTTCGTTCAGACTAAGTAGATTTGGAACGACAGACGGAGTGTGAAAACACCCGATGCTGCTCAGTATGTTTCACGTTTCTAAATCCCATCTTAATTTTAGGTGACAATCATTTATGCTCTGTTGAATTCAAACTGTGTTATCAGAGATTCACTTTCGCGTGAGTACTCAGATACCATGGAATTCTGCCAGGCCTAGGCTTAGGTCGGCCACTTCCTTCATGTGAGTTCTGCCAAGGACCACTGGCAGGCACGAGTCACCACAACATGCTGTATCTACCTGCCACCCATCCACCTATAATTACAACGGTTACGTGGGAGTTACAGGTACGAAACACTGCTGGTACGTTCTCGCCATGGCTTGGCACTGCCTGAATGCCAGTGGTGGACCGTGGCAGCTAGTGGCGTGGTGCATCGCACATCCACCCTTTCCACCTATTCTCATTGAATTCATTCGACAGCATTTGCTGTGAGTCTGATTCGAGAATAAGGAGGAATCAGGCACCCGAGCTAATTGCTATATTTAAAAGCGATCATGATGGACGGCGGTATATATGCCTGTAGTGCACGCACTCCAATACACCTCATCCCGATATGACCATAATCTCAGATGATCCCACTTGGTGGCCAATCATCAGTTTTTGTCATCTTTACAACTATTTTCTAGGTTCGTAGAGAGTGATTTGGATGCCAATGGTGTATCATCTCAATATATTTGACTATCGCTTCGCAGCTGCATGCTCTACTGTGGTAGTATACGACTGGGGTGAGCGAGATAATATGTTCCGAGGGATCATTGATATCCATACAATATTCAAGCATTAACATTCGGACAAGAGGTAAGTTGATGTCATGACCTGTAATCTTACTAAGAATGTTTTGACAGTTCGAACTGATCTTGGTGGGCAAAGTCCTGTATCAGAATCAAATAGAATGATGTAGTCAACTCGGGGCAGAGCCAACGTTGGTCCTTCATGACCGTTCCTTATATTTGCGTACGTTATTGCTACGAGCGCAGTTGGTGTGTTGTACTGACTTCAACATATACTAGGTGCGCTACATTGGAATACTATATACTGTGTACGTTTGCAAGTCCATCTACACAACACTGCAATGTGCCAATAAGCCATCTCTCGCAACCAGCATTAACATCCTGCGTATGTGTCCTCACATGCATTCGCTCCTTCTGACTGGCGGCATGCGTTTTTTCCCTAATATCTGGATTG